GAATTGTTTCTTGTTCGGTTTAAACGGGGTTCCCGTGATGTAATGATGATTTTTTCGGCGTGCAAGCTGACAATAAGGATTTCTTTCCTTTCTATCAGTTCCGGAAACGTCCAGCAGACAACATAATTTGCATTTGTTCCTGAATGCAGCGAAGGGTTTTCGTTTTACTTTGGGGGTTTGGGGGTTGAGACGTGTCCGCTGGTCCTTCAACCGTTCGCAAGTGTCCGCGAGTGACCGTCGTGAGAGTAATATGACTGTGCCTGTGGCGAGTTCTGCAAAAGCAATCGCTTTTGGAGGTTTCAAACGTCGCGTAGCCTCGTTTCGCGTGGCAGGCGTGGCGCTTTGTGACATTTCAACATCAACATGTTTCATAAGGTGTTGTTTTTTTTGTGGCAGGTTCGCGTCGTTTTCAGAAGATGAGTTGACCGGCGCAACACTTTGGAGATCCTCGTCGTCATTTTGCGTGGCAGGCGCAGCACTTCAGACGTTTCGCTTTGCGTGTTTTTTGTGAATCGCCCTGTCAGCGTCGGGTGGTGACAACGTGCAAGTTGCGTGCCAGGCGTGGCATTTTGTGAGATGTGAGATGAAATTGACGGAAACTTCGCACGAAACATCGATTTTGAGGTAACAAATCTTGAGGTTCATGAGAAAACTCTTACGAAAACGTTGATTTTGAAGCTACGAAGAATGAAAAAATGTGAGGAAGTCTCGCACGAAATGCTCGTATTGAGACTCAAAGAATCTCGTCTCGATTCTGGTTTCCTTCTGGCGTCGCCGTGTCTATGCGGGACGCTGCAAAAGCTCTCCTTTTCGAAGGCGTCAAAGCAGGTTGCAATGCCCTTTTTGCGTGGCAAGCGTGGAACTTCCTGACATTAATTCCCACGTGTCTGCAAAAGTGTCGAAAGTCGTTTCGTGCGACAGGCGCAATATTGATACGTCATGTAGAGTGTGGAGTGTAAACTGTAAAGTGTGGAGTGCAAAGAGTGGAGTGCAAAGTGTAAACTGTGGAGTGTGGAGTGTAAAGTGTAGAGTGTGGAGTGTAGAGTGTAAAGTGTGGAGCGTAAAGTGTAAAAGGTTTAGAGTCTAGAGTTTGGAGAGAAAAGTGTAAAGTGTGGAGTGTAAAGTGTAAAGTGTGGAGTGTAGAGTGTGGCAGTGTGGAGTGTAAGGTGTAAAGTGTGGAGTGTAAAGTGTAAAGTGTAGAGTGTAAAGTGAGAAGTTTAGAGTGCAGAGTGCCAACTTTAAAGTCAAAGGTGTGGATTGCAAAGTGCGGAGTGTAGAGTGTGAAGTGAGGAGGGTAACGTGTGGAGTGTTAAGTGTGGAGTGTCAAATGTAAAGTGTAAACTGCGGAGTGTAAAGTAATGTAGAGTGTAGAGTGTGCCGTGCAAGTGTAAAGTGCAAAGTGCAATTTGTGGAATGTGGAGTGTAAAGTGTAGAGTATGGAGTGTGAAGTGTAAAGTGTGGAATGTGGAGTGTAGAGTGTGGAGTGTAGAGCGTAAAGTGTGGAGTGTAAAGCGTAAAGTGTGGAGTGTTAAGTGTAGAGTGTGGCGTGCAAAGTGTAAAGTGCAAAGTGCATGGCGTGGAGTGTGGAGTGGGGTGCAAAGTGTAGAGTATGGAGTGTAAAGTGTGCAGTGTGAAGTGTGGAGTGCAAAGTGTAGAGAGCGGAGTGTAAAGTGCAAAGTCCGCGGCGTAAAGTGTAAAGAGTGGAGTGTGGAGTGTAAACTGTAAAGTGTAGAGTGTGGAGTGTAAAGTGTAAAGTGTGAAATTTGGAGTGTAAAGTGTAGAGTGTGGAGTATAAAGTGCGGAGTGTGGAGTGTGGACTGTAAGGTGTAAAGTTTGGAGTGTAAAGTGTATAGTGTGGAATGTGAAGTATAAGTTTAAAGCGTGGAGTCTAGAGTGCGAAAAACTAAATACCCTGCCCGCCACGCAAAATGACATTCCACGCACGAGGGATTTGCGCCAAATGCTGCACCTGCCATGTGAGATGAGACTCGTACGGTGTCCCACGCCTGCCACGTAAACTGCAGGTTGCCACCACTTGACGCAGCCCACGTCTGAAGTGCCGCGCCTGCCACGCAAAAGCAAGATGGATACATCCAAAGTGCTGTGCCTGTCACGAAAAATCCAATTCATCTTCTGACAGCGGCGCTTCTACACTCCACACTTTACATTCACACCCCGCACTCGACACTCCACGCTTTAGACTGTACCCTCCATTGTCCACATTCTCCACTTCACGCTCCACACAGGACATTTCCCACGCAACACTGCACTTTCTTCACGCTCCACACTTTGCACTCCACCCCCTTCCACATTCCACAGTCTACAGTGCACTGGTGCTGTAACAGGGAAAGATGGAAAACCGCACAAAACTATTTAGAAAATTTTGTTTCATTCACGAAAGTGTTTTGCATGACTGCATTCGGGTTCGTTGGTTTCTCTTGTTTTTCTGCCATTCGGGGAAATAAGGATCTTCTTTCCAGTTTTTCATTTTCCGAAACACCGAGGAGTTTAATATGTTCAAACATATTCACACGTGTTCAACAAATACGTGCTTCTTCTTCACAATGATTAGGGGAGTAAGAATAAGGATCTTATTTCCCTTCTTTCATTTCCCGAAACACCGAGTACTTCAAACAATAGTTTTTTTTACTAAAGGAAATAAAGCTCTCTTTTCCCTTCTTCCATTTCCGGAAACATCCAGCAGATCAGAAGAAGCGCGTTTATTTTTCGCAAGAAAAGGGGAAAAATCTTACCTCCTTTCTATCCGTTCGGGAAGCATCTAGCAGACAACCTAATTTGCATGTTGTTTTACTGTGATTCGGGGACATAAGGACCTTCTTTCCCATCTTGCATTTCCCGCAACATCGAAAAGGCAAACATGTTCAAACATGTTCAAGCAATACGTGCTTCTTCTTCACAATGATCAGGGGAAATCAGGATCTTATTTCCCTCCTTTCATTTCCCGAAACATCGAGCACATCAAACAATAGGTGAAGGGAAAATACAGCGATCTCTTTTCCCTTCTTCCATGTCCGGAAACATCCAGCAGATCAAAAAAAGTGCGTCTATTTTTCCCAAGAAAGGGGGAAAAGAATCTTACTTCCTTTCTATCTGTTCCGGAAACATCCAGCAGACATCCTAATTTGCATGTGGTTCTATAATAACTATTCTGGTCGACCTTGCCAAATATTTCGCTGTACAAATTGTACCTCTATGTCGACAGTGTTGCAGATGAGAGTTACCTAAGTTGAGTTTGTGCCACTGTGAGAGTTTGACCTGTCCACTTTGACAGCAGGTGCTTATTTCGCAGCAGTTTGGCAAGTGCACTGCGATCTGGCTTGGCACCCTCAATGGTTGCTTCTGCCTGGCCACAACGGAAAGTTGCCTTGTCAGTTATGTATGTCTTCAAGGGAAAACTTATTCCAAACCCGTAGACAGACACATCCAAACATCATGTCACCGCTTGAATGGAAAGCACGCTTCACTATAATTCCTAGAACCATCAGCTTATGGAAAGTGCCAGGCCTCACAGGGTTGCATTTGAACCCGGACATCATGCATCAGGCACTGACCAATATTTGTTGGGCGGTGTCCTGACAGTTTTGTTGGAGCACAAATATGCCAGTCAACTGCACCAGCTATGTGAAGAGCTGTCATCGTGCTCTGTCTGCAATAATTCTATATATAAGATTTATATTTACATATATTTGGGGTGCACGATTGCACTTAATAGTCATATGCATGCTCACATATATGGCTCTGTGCATGACTATAGGTATGCTCCTACTTCAATGACAACATTTATTCACAACTTGACAAAGCTCAAGTTCGCTGGTACAGAGAAGAAGTGGCCTAATCTCAGAGGCAGAGCCGTGGAGGTACGTGCGCTCACCCAACCGATTTGCAATCTTTGGGCCGCTAAAACTAATCATAGCGACAAAAACGACGTTTTGATCAAAATGCTGCTGGAAAGATCATGCGAATATGATCAAGTGGTCATTGATCATCCCGACGTACCGCGGCTTGACGATCAGGCGCCCCGGCTTATATATATATACATATGTTTTTCCTTTTTAGATACTCAGCGTTCGTTATTTTTGTTTTCTTTATATGCATGTGTATATGCATGGTTGGACAATTTGAGGTGGCTCGGCGGCTTCAGTCGGTGGCTACAGAGTTCATTGCTCTCTACAAAGCGGCGAAAACTGCATGGGGTCTACTTGGAGATTATTTTTGCATCACCAAGAAATTCCATGATTTGTTCCACTTGGCACACCGAGCTGACGAAATAAATCCTGCTTTGACCTCCTGCAAATCAAGAAATTAATGATTAAGTGCGTTCAGTCGGCCAAACCGATCACAGCTGTGCACAAGGCCATAACCAAATACCGTCTTGCTTTGCACCTGGAGCATCGCTGAACATTGCCATTCGAGAGTGAGTTTGCAGACAAATAGATACAGCTGCAGCAATGCAGGTCCTCATCCTGCACACAAATCCAAGATGGAAAAAGGTTGCATGCCGCGAAATGATCAATACGTTTTATAAAGATTTTGAATACATATTCGCAAAAAAGTTTTGAAAATAAATTTGATGTGTTTGCTAAAATTCACAAAAATCAAAATAAAACTAATTTTATATAAAAATAAAAATTATAAAATAAAAATTATATATATATAATTTTTATTATATATATATAATTTTTATTTATATATAAAATAAAAATTATATATTTTATTAAAAAATATATATTTTGAAATAAAAATAAAAATTGCATATATGCAAAAATTATATAAATACATAATTTATATATATTATATAATATATATATAATTTTATGTTATTTGATCCTTATGGCAGTGTTTAATGGAGCAATGCGGTGCCGAACGTGAAAAAGGTGGGAGGAGAGGAGCGGCGGCTCCAACGATTTATCAGCAACTTGGTGCCCGCCAACTCCTACCAGCGGCCAGGGGACGATATCCACTTCCCCTATTTGGGCCAGATGGCCATGTTTAGCCTGGAGCAGGATGAGGAGCTCCTGGTGGACAGTGAGGATCTGACTAGTTGCTACAACCTGTTTGCCTTACCCCAAGCCTGGGTGTCCTTTATGGCCTTTGGAAAAGCGGTGGACTCCTCCGTGTTTGGGCTAGCACCGGGGGAACCGATGTACCCGGCCATGGCGGTCATACCAATGGGCTGGTTGTCGTCGGTGTTGCTGACCCAGGCTATTGTGCGGCACTTGGTGTTTGACTTGAGCGGGGTGCCGCGGGACACCGAGGTGCGGAAGACGGCAGAATTTCCTGCCGGTGACCGGGTCAGTGTCATTTCCAAGTCCTTTCACGAGCTCCGGAAGGTGAGCAGAGGATGCCGAGCGGTCCTAGAGGGCCAAATGTCAGAGTATCACCAGGCGTTCAAAGCCACGTGCGATCGCCTTGGTCTTCCCCTCAATGAAGGCAAACGGGTGGTTGCGGCAACCGAGGGAGCGTTGCAAGGAGGCGAGATAGAAGGGGGTGGAAGGAGTAGTATTCAAGTTAGCCACGGACAAACAGGTGCAATTGATTGGGTTGTCTGTTGAGGGAATTCGAGTTGCGGCATTGGGTAGGGAATGCCATTTTTGGCATGAGCTTCCGCAGGCCCTTGATGTCATTGCTGGAGGTGGTATTCAATGACATCGTGCTGGCTCAAGCGGGGCCACTGGCGCTGAGTGCCGCCACCCGTGATGAAATCACCGCAGTGTTGGCGCTCATACCCTTAATGAGCATGAACTTGAGGACTGCGCTGACAGTGACTGATGCCTCGCCGACAGGAGGAGGCGCTGCCACTTCCCAGGAGTTCAAGCAAGAGCCCCAAAGAGTGGCACAGGATGGCAGCAGCTGTTTCCAATGTGGAGGAGAGTTTGAGGAAGATGGAAGATTTCCTTGCCCGCCCGACTGCGGCGTTGCGCTCTGTTCGCTTGAGTGCATTTGGCGTCACCGGGAAGGCCCGTGCAAGAGGAAAGATCACCCCTGTCCACGGTTCGGGGAGAGATTCGCTGGGTCCGCGCGGCTCTCTAAAGAAGTGGCTCGCGCCGGCATAGAGGTCCAAGAACCGTTTGACCTTACTTGGAACCACGACTACTTTAGCCTGGCCGGGAAGGCAACTCTCAAGAGGCTGGAGTCGGATGAGCAACTGAGGGCAGAGCATTGGGCGCCCGAATGCAATTTGTTCTCCCGCGCCCGGGGCCGCCCAATAACCTTGAGGGACGGTTGTACAGTGAGAGGACCCCAGCCAGTGAGGGATGCATCCCATGTCATGGGGTACCCCTGGTTGTGAGGCGACATGAAGGCGCGACTGAGGCGCTCAAACACTATCGCCATCAAGGCATTGAAGCGAGGAGCCGAGTGTCAACACCAAGGAATCTCTCACACAGTGGAGCATCCGTGGCATTCGTGGATGTGGGAAATGCAACCAGCCAAGCAGCTGGAGCAGGACAGCCACACTTACGCATGCTCTTCGGCGTGTTGCTTTGGCGGGGCTCGCGAGAAGTGGACGGGAGTACTGGCAAACTCCCAGACGGTGGCCTTGGCCATTCACCAGCCAGAGTGCCCAGGCCATGACAGGCTGCGGTCCTATGAAGTGGAGGAGCGACCTGATGGGTCGCTGTACTATCCTACGGAGGAGGAAGCAGCCTATCCAACACGATGGTGTTACTGCTATGCACAAGGGCTTCAGGAGGACTTTTCCCAACAGGGATACTTTGAAGAAGCATACCATCACGGCTGCCTGGCTTGGTTGGAGGCTGAGCTGGCGCAATCGACCCCCCGGCTGCAAGAGTGTGACCTCAAGTCACGGGCCAGTCAGGCTCTGTTTGCAGTCGAAGAAGACATGAAGCGGGGAATGGAAAAGGATCACCTGGCAGTCATGGCCCGCCGTGCTTCTATCCGGGGGGCGGACATCTGATTGCACCTAATCAATGATGAGCCCCAAGAGCTCCCTTACCCGGCTTACCGGTGGTATTGGCAAGAGAAGCTCTCCTACACGTGGAAGCACGAGGAGCACATCAACTACCTCGAGATGCGAGCTTTCATGGCAATGCTGCGCCGGAGAGTTCGACGGGAGCAACTGCGCGCTACCCGCTATGTCCATATTGTGGACTCTGCTGTGACCCGTGGAGCAGTCGCCAAGGGCCGCTCCTCCTCCAAGCGCATCAACGCGCTGCTGCGGCGAATTTGTGCCATGTGCCTGGCTTCTGACACTTACCCCCTGGTAGCCTGGACCATCAGCCGATGGAACTTCGCAGACCTCGCCTGCAGGAGAGGCACATCTAAGGATGCCAAGTAAACTTCACCTGAAATTTGCGGGGCTCCAGGGGTGAACGTTAGAAGCATATGGTAAGGCACTGCAGCAATTTCTGCTTTTCATTCGCAGAGAAGGCATCAAGTTACGCCGGGTCCAGCAGTTAGATGCGCAGCTGGGTGAATACCTGAACGTTTTGTATCAGGAAGGAGATTCCCTCGCCGCCGCTGGGCACCTGTGTCCAGTATCAAACGTTTCATACCTGAATTCAAACAATCTTTACCTGTTGCCACGCAATTTCATCGCAATTGGCAACGGTTGCACGTTTCAGTGAGGGCCACCCCCATCCCTCACATGCTTTTGGAAGCAATGGCTGCTTTGTGCTTATCCATCGATGAATCGGCACTAGCCACTTTACATATCCTTGGATTCAGGCGCTTTCTACGCACCAATGAGATGTTACAATTGCAATGGAATCACCTGTTGGTTTTGCCAGGCCAACGGAGTATTAATGTGGTGCTTCCCTTCAGCAAGACCTCTCAAGGTAACCCCCAGGTGTTACGGGTCGATGACCCTGTGGCAGTGGCGCTCGTGCGCGCCTATCGGCCCTCAGCATCTTCCAGGGCTGTGATGTGGCCTTTTTCACTGCGGCAGTTTCACCGTACTTGGAAGCACTTGCTTTGGTGCGTGCATTTTCCGGCCGCCAGTTTCTCTCCTTACGGTATTGGTAGGGGCGGAGCTACCTATTTTCCCTCTCCTGTGGCAACTTAGACACCACAGTTGCACGAGGACGCTGGGCTAACGGCCGAGTGGCCAAAATCTACATCGATGATGGGGCGTTAACCTTGGCCGAAATGCGATGGACGCATCGTCAAAAACGAGCCGTACAAGAATGGGCCAAAAAATTGGGCCGTTGGTACACTCCGCTTCGCAAGTCAAGAGGAAAACTGGAGCATAAATGGGTTCCGGGAGTCTTTTGGCAAGTAGCCTGGTAACCTGTTACCTGGTTCTTTAACCGGAGTTTTGAAGTTTTCCTAAGGTGGTGACAAATGGGAGGTCTTTACCTCCTGTGTGTGTAGGGTCTTTACCCGTTTTAAACTTGGGTCTTTACCCAGAAAGGTCACGGAGGGATCATGATCCCCCTGAGTTTGGTTCTGTTTTGTTACCAACTCCGGTTGTGTGGTTTGGTTGATGTAAATATAATATGGTTGATTGTACAGGGAACTAGATTAGGCTTTAGCGCCTCCCATTTATTAGCTGTTGTGTGAACCCTGTGCCTTGAGAAGGTAGCTGTGTGTGCGCATGGTTTTCAAATATATATACAGTATATATAAATATGCCTCAAATAGCTGGGAACAGTTGAAGTCGGCAGCACCAAGATGCAATTTCACCTTGTTCCTCGACCTATCAGACTGGATCCCCAGCATGGCCCAGGCTGAATGCTGCCACCATTGCCAGGAGCTAGGGTCAAGTCAAGCAACAACACCACCAAAACAACACACGAATATATAACTTGATATAACTTGTAGCACCCCTCCAAAAGAATAGATCTTTTTGCAAATTTATCACCATTTTTTTGGATTTTGCATGCTGTTGCTTTAATGTCTTTTTGGGGGTCGCTATCTAAGAGAAATGTACGATTGGTGACATGATGCTGACCCATGATCTCCTGCCTGAGGGTTCTGGTGGCATAGGAGCAAAACCATCTTCTGGAGCGGGCCCATGGGTGTCTACGAGATGAAGGTCCGATGCCATTCCGGCGGCAGTTGGAGTGTCGATGGAACTTGCGATACGGTGACAGCAAGATATAACCAAGTTGGGCTTAAGTTGGGATACAACCCCTATAACATCCTATAAGTATAGGTATAGAACCAGTTAGTTCACTGAAACTGCACCACCAAGTAAACCCCGACTGTAGCATAGGAAAGGTCAGATTTTCAGGGCCAGTGCTGAATTCAGGGATCGTTGCCTGTTTTTGGTTTCTCAATTTGGAACTTGATCCACCGGTGCTTGACTGTCTTGAAGGCATTCGAGCAGGGCACCCAGTGTGGGGCTGCTCAGATACAGGTTTTGGGGCTCTGCAAAAACCAGACCCAGAGATTGAAATTGAAACGTAACAGTCCCCTAAACCCAGAGGCTCCAGGATCAGATGCACATATATATATATATATATGTTCAGACAGTAGTGCACCCTCGTTCATTCTGAGGGTTTTGACATGCTGAAATTCCCAGCAGCAGTGGCCGGGTTACCCCTCGTCCTCAGTCATGATGGACAAGATCGTGGAGGCAACCAAATCTGGCACCGTCACAGTTCGGTACCCAACAAGACTTGAATTGACTGGTTGGCGGGCTGGGAGGGATGACGGGATGGTTGTGTTTTTTTCCGATACCCTATGGGAAATAAACGTGGCTAGCTGGAAATCACCCATTCAGTTAAATGATTTTTTCCCCAGCTAGAAACTAGAAACCTCCATTCAGTGCGGGGATTTCGCCGCTCTGTACATAGTATATATCATGAATGATGTGCCTCAACCTCACCTATCAACAATATTTACGATGGAAGGACATAGATGTATGGTGAATAGGGATGTGAACGCCTTGTTTGCAATTATTGTTATTATGATATGATATTATATGTACAATATATATATATAATTTATGATGGTACTGCTCATGATTTGCAATAGGCCTGATATATCATCAGCCGATCGTTGAGAATTCGTTAAAGATTTTGTTGAAGATTTTGTGGCAATTCTTGTGGCAATCCATTTTGCCACACCTTTTGCCACAAAAAATGATCGTGACAATTTCGCTATTATTTCGTTAAAGATTTCGTTGCTTCATTTCAAGTTCTGACGAAATCCTAACGAAATTCTTGCGAAAATAAATGTGGCAAAATCTTATGGCAAAACGTTTTGCCATAAAAAACACCCGACAAAAAGTCTGACGAAATTCTGACGAAATGAAAACGAAAGAAACAACGAAGAAAATCCTTTTACCAGAAAATATTGCAAGCGGTAGGAAATTATGGTGGAGTTCGATCACAATATATACTCATATGGTGATCGACGGTCCTTGTAAGTAGTTTTAATTGTGAAAGCCGTGCATGTTATGTTGGAAACCCTCACAAAAGTTTTTTTTTTCGAGTTCGCGAAAGTAACTTTTTTTTTCGCGAAAGTTTCGCGAAAGTTGGATATAATCATTGTGTAAAGGGCTGCCACCCACTGCCGCCCGGGGTCCGGCAGGAGAAGGGCACCAGAGAATTTCGGTTTGGTTCTGCTTCAGTTCCCTGTGTGGTGGTGCTTGTAGACAATCACCTTGCCCTTCATAGGTAGGAGCCGAGCTTCCAAAGGCGAGGCTTCGCGACAGCCAAACACCATGGTCCTGAAGCACATCCTTGCACCTGCCGCTGTCACTGCCTAATGATGCTTTTTGAAGTCTCAAGAAACAAGCTCCAAATGCAGCAGCCAAGTTTCCAAAAGTGAGGCGTTGCGAGAGGCAAACACCAAGGCCCCTGGCGTCCGCTTTTCCTTCAATGCACCCCCTGCTGATGGCCGGGGTCTGTGAATAGGGATATTTTCGCGAAGTTCCGCGAAAGTTGTGCGAAGGAGCGGGCGAAAGTCAATGTGCATGTTGAAGGGGGTCGGCCAGTAAACCTTCACCAAAAAAACCTAGTCAGCAACAATCTGTCCTGAGAAGGGATTCCGTCGTGTGCTAGCTGCATGTTTAAAAGGCTATCAAGAAGTGATCCGTGATTCTCTGGCGCAATTTGGCAGGTGGTGAATGAATCTTCAAAAGAGGCGTTGTTGGCCAACATGGGCCCCGCGAAAGATAAACATAGAGTTCGCGAAAGTTTCGCGAAAGTAACATTTTTATCCGCGAAGAATGGCCGTTCCCGGATAAAGGAATTTTGATCAACCATCATATAATACATATACTTGCAGTATACACATAACCATCCATAATGGGCTCTGAACCTCCTATTCCCATCAGGTGTAATATGAGATTATATCAGCGATATTGTTGTGCATCACTGCGCCACACATCCTGCAGAACCCTTTTCCCATGTGCAAAAACAGTTGTATTTGTGCAGTTGAAATTGGTCATGTCTGTACTGTATGATCAGTACTTGCATCATCCCAGTGAGTCATTTTTTGGTAAACCATCCAATTCTTGGGATCAATATACGGTAATCAAACGTGGCTGGGACCTGGATACTGAGGTCATCGGTGGAGGCGAAAGCGTTATTGAGCAGATCCAGGTGCCGAGCTAAGTACACATGGAAACCGTTTCTGCAGAAATTGGTATCTTAAAATGGGGTATAGCCATGAAGATTTTAAAAGGGGAATAATGTTGAGGTACCCTATTTTCAGACAAACCCATGTATTTTTAGTTGACCCTTCGGATAGAATGATAACGTAAACCTTTTACCCAAGAAATGCCCTCGATGGACTCCGTGGATGGAATGAGGGACGGAAACCTCCCACCCAGATATATCGTCCTTTCCCCTGCCATTGAAATATAGCAGCAGGAAAGCCAGAACGACGAGATTCCACATGAGGACCGAGCATTTTGGCAAGGGCAATTTGGTGGTTCAAACTTTTATCATCCTTATCAAAGGTGATTGGGATATAATGTGTAATGCGCACATCATTTAGCCTGAGGAAGTCGATATGTCCACTGATGTATTCCAAACGCTTATGCAGAACTATGGTGAGGGTGGGGCGGTCCAGCAGTTGGTGAAGAGGTACCGTCATAGAATCTCAGAATACGCATGTCTTATTTTCCAGAGGCCATTCAGGAGTCCAGCCATACTGTATCAATCCGGGGACTGCAAGATCTTAGAAGACAAACTATGTGCCACATGGTTTGAATATGTTTGAATAGAACCTTTAAGTTGCCACGCAACCCCAACCACCCATCCATTCTCCCTAACAAAACACGCGGTATCGGATTCACCTTCGGGGAGTATCTTCGGTGATTTCTCGGCAGGAAATGCACATTGTCTGCGCCGATCGCGATGAAGAGCCAGACAAGATCTTCGTGTGGAACCACCTGAGGGCTGAGGCGCGTCCAAGAACCTGCCGCTGGTAACATGCCTCTAATACATAATGCCGAAATCAGATGTCTGTAATGTAATGCAAGGTAAGGTAATGTAATGTAAGGTGATGTGAGCTAAGGCAAGGAAAGGTAAGAAAAGTTATATAAAGTAAGATAAGGTAATGTAAGGTGAGGAAAAGTAAAGAAAGGTAAGATGAGGTAAGGTAAGGTAAGGTAAGGAAAGGTTATGTAATGCATATACAATAATATACATATGTCATATGTATGTATCTAATGCACCAATCCAGAATGAGGGTCGGCAAAGCTGGGTCAGATGTTTTTCCTGGAATTGAATCCTTGACCTCTTTGCGAGGTGGATGAGCTTCGGCTGCTGTGAGGTGCTTGGTGGGAAGGTGAGAAAACTGAAAATGGTTCCTTGAAACAGCTATCGGAAACTAGCCGCCGCTGCGTGGGCAAGTGTGGCAATTGTCGAAGGAAGTTTAGAAGTCAAACTTCCGACAATATGGACAGATGAAAAGCAGAGCAGGGCAGAGGCAGAGAGAAGAGAAAGATCAGAAGAGAGAAGAGTAGAAGAGAAAGAGTAAGAAAAAGAAGATGGAGATGCGCGAAAAGGTAGGAAAGTCGCGATTCACTATGTTTTCCCAATGATTTGTGGCTCCGGAGGGTCGAAAAGTAGGCTCGCTAGAGCGGCGGGTGCGGAGCCAGCTGGCCAGAGGAGAGATGAAAAATTGCACGCCTGGCGCGAAGCACATTTCCAAGTCAAAATGTACAAAGCACACCACGTTCGGACCACTTTTGGAAGTTGAGATGTTGAAAAAGTGCACGCCGTTGTGGCGCGAAGCACATTTCCAAGTCAAAATGTTAAAAGCACTAGGGGTGCGGACCACTTTTGGCACTTGAGATGTCGAAAAAGTGCACGCCGTTGTGGCGCGAAGCACATTTCGAAGTGAACATGTTAAAAACACTAAGGGTACGGACCACTTTTGGCACTTGAGATGTCGAAAAAGTGCACACCGTTGTGGCGCGAAGCACATTTCGAAGTCAAAATGTTAAAAGCACTAGGGGCGCGGACCACTTTTGGCACTTGAGATGTCGAAAAAGTGCACGCCGTTGTGGCACGAAGCACATTTCCAAGTCAAAATGTTAAAAGCACTAGGGGTTCGGACCACTTTTGGCACTTGAGATGTCGCAAAAGTGCACGCCGTTGTGGCGCGAGAAGAACATTTCCAAGTCAAAATGTTAAAAGCACTAGGGGTTCGGACAACTTTTGGAAGTTGAGATGTCGCAAAAGTGCACGCCGTTGTGGCGCGAAGCACATTTCGAAGTCAAAATGTTGAAAAAACCAGGCGTTCGGACCATTTGTGGAAGTTCAGATGTCGCTTCGCTTCACTACACTACACTACATTACATTACACTACACTACACTCCACTATACTACACTCCACTACATTACACACAACTACAACTACACAACTACACTCCACTACACTCCACTACACTAAATTACACTACACTACACTACATTACACTACACTACACTCCACTACACTACACTACATTACACTACACTGCATTACCTTCCACTACACTTCACTACATTACACTACACTACACTACACTCCACTACAACTACAACTACAACTGCACAACCACACTCCACTACAATACACTCCACTACACTCCACTACGCTAAGTTACACTACACTACACTACATTACACTACACTACACTCCACTACACTACATTACACTACACTACCTTCCACTACACTTCACGACATTACACAACACTACACTCCACTACACTACAACTACAGCTACGACTACACAACTACACTCCACTACACTCCACTACAGGAAATTACGCTACACTACACTACATTACACTGAATGACACTGCACCACAGATAGGCAGGTAGACAGATAGACAGGTAGACAGATAGACAGATAGATAGATGGATGGATGGATAGATAGATAGATAGATAGATAGATAGACAGGTAGACAGACAGATAGACAGATGAAAGAGAGAGAGAGAGATAGATAGATAGATAGATAGGTAGGTAGGTAGGTAGATAGGTAATTAGATGAAAGAAAGAAAGAGAGAGATAGATAGATCGATAGATAGATAGATAGATAGATAGATACATAGAAGATAGGTTGGTAGGTAGGTAGGTAGATAGTCAGAGAAAGAGAGGGAAAGAGAGGAGACCTCAACCACCTTTCGGTCCATCAGTGGCTTCGCTCTGCCATCCCTGATTCACAACAACCAACCTCTCCTATAGGTTTCCTATTTTTGAAACGTCCGCCACCGCCTTGTGCGGTACTATTGGTAAAGCCAATACAGGCTTCCAAATATTGGAAATGGAAACTGCCCAGGCTTCACCCAGTCATGTGGTGATTCACGACAACTTGACGAGTCGTGTGGCCTTGCGGACGATGCCTCATTCTAGAAACGGTTACCACATCTAAAAAGGAAAGTAGTGACAAGGATTGGCAATACGACCCATCCATGTGTTGTAATTGAAACGTAGTGCTGGGAACAAGACGGGGGCTTTCTGGTTCGATGCAGCGGTTGGCTACCGCAAAGGTTAGACGACCTCAATACCCTGGGGTAATCACAGAAGGCCTGGCGGCGCTTCCCAGTGGTTTTAATGGTTACTGCTGACTGGGGTAGTAGTTGGATTTACCCAGCAGTTCTGGGTACTGAAAAATAGGGAACACAATGACTAACCTTTATTTTGGAGGATACCATATTTCTTAAGACAAACTCGCATGTTGGAAATGATTTAATGTGGGTTTGCGATTTGTTAACTGGAATTGGGTAGCAATGGGCCCACAATTTTGATCAAACGCTAAGTTATCCTGTTTGAGAGTTCATCCTTTGGAGTCCGTCCCAGAATATGTGCCATTGTCAAACTACATGGGGTTAACAGGGTATGGACATCCCACCATGAAATTGGGAACCCCCAAGAGTTGGCCATGAGAATTGCGATTTTTCACGGTGGTACGACCATACCAGCTTCTTTTTTCGGAGGGTTGTGGGTTCGCATTTTCTGTGAGACATTTTCTTGGAGCCCAGATCCTGAATCCTCTGGGGTTCCAGCTTACCGTCTGTCATCAAACATGCAAAATTCCCTGGCAGTTCGATAATTTTCCCAGCAGATGGCCCATTTTTTGGGGATTTCCCAGCCATGCTTCAGGAGCTGCAGCCGCCCTGCCGCCGGTGCGACCAGGTCGTTTGCAGGGAGCTGAGGTGATGGTGCGATGGTGTTGGAAGTGGAGTTGGATGTTGAAACTGAAAAAGAGGAAGTTGCGGCGGTTAGATTTGGATAGGGTTTAATAGATTGGATTGTGCTGGATTGTAGTTCCATTGTAGGTATTAAATATTGCAGCTTGGAGTAGCCAATGAGACTGCCTTCCAGAAATTTGCGAGAGAAATCAGAATTGTTTGCAACCAAATCTAGCAGATTTATTGGATGAGATTCACAATCTCCTGAAATTGAACACTCACATCATTCTTCTTATCACTCCGTGAGGCTCCAGCTTCCAAGGTCCATGGCCGGCAATGCAGCCGTTAGCCGCGCTTCCAAGTCTCTTATAAGAGGCCATGTGTGGTCGATGAGTCGATGGCCACATCAACCTAAAGGGCGAGCCATCAATCCAAAGATGAGCAGCCGCAGGGTTTTTCTGTGGGCATTTCTTTTCACCAATGCTATTATCACCCCCTCACTACAGGGCCGTGTGATGTTCCAGTATTTTCTGGCCAGTGCAAGATGTACAGCTCCGTTGGTTTCAATCGAATCTCTTTTGAGGCGTTTGAGTTGGTCTGTGCTCCTATCAGCTTTGAGCTTGCAAATCTCAGGCGAGCAAATCCTTGGGATACCTCACAGTGTCCCGCGGCGGACTGAGGGCAACGAACCCACGGACACAGTAAATGCGAAACAGGCACAGCAACCAAAAGGGTGCCTGAAAGGATCAGGAATCGAGTCACATGGGAAAGGTGATGTTCATTTGGTGTGTTCATGATTTGATGACAATTTAGTGAAGAAAATTACCAGTTTGATGCCATCCAAGAGTTGCAGGAAACCCAGAAAGATACTGTATCTCAAAAACGCAGGGAAAACACACTTTGTTTCACGTTGCTTTGCACCACAGAGAGCAAAATTAATGAGACGTGAAATCAATTCTGGTGCGTTAGGAGGTGTGGAATGATCGTGGTATAGTGCTTTTGGGGCAGGTAGTTTGAGGCAGTGAGTCATCGAACAATTGCATGAATTTTATTTGGTGTTGGATAATTCGAAAATGTTCCAGCATCTATGTAAAGTATTCTATTTCGCAAATCAAACTCAATGGGGTGGCTCCAAGAGTCTTGCCTTGGATTTCCAAACCTTCTAAAATGCTTCAAAATTATAGTTCCGGAAAAAAAGGAACTATATGGGAAGGTCCCCAAACCTGAGTCCGTTTTCCTGTCTCAGTTGGTGAAAGCCATGAGAGATGCAGCGTTTGATCTCGATGCCATAGCTGAAAGCATGCATCGAAAAAACAATCCTTCTAGCGCAGTTCCTAACAAAGTTGACAAACCTGCTGAGTTTATGCAACATCTTGTTCAGCTTTTGGTTGATCAAATTGCGTCAGTTGCGCCTGCAAAACAGGACACGGCTGCCTAACATTACAATAATTTAGGGTTGGTTGAGGTTTCATTGAGGGTTGGTTGATGGTCTGTTTGGGTCATGGGTAGGTCTTAAATCTTAAAGAATTGGCGACATCCCGATCTGGCAGGTTTTCCAGTCCAAGGAGAAGGCCCAGATTGGGAAGATCTGGCTGTGTGTTCAGTGGTTGATAAAAACCTGGAGCATCCTTTGAGCACTCTTTTGTTGCTCGAGGTGTTGTGGTGCTCGAATATGTTTTTTTTGCTCGATTATGTTTTTTTGCTCGAGTCATTTTGGACCCCAAATAAGTAACACTGCACCGCAGTTATGTGATGAAATGATATGTATTTTGTGAATCATAGTAGATCGCTCTTGAGAGTGTGGGCTCGGGTGTTGAAAAACTTGTGAGCCAGGCGCGCACATTGGCTATATCAGCAGTGATGGAGGCACCCTGTCTGTTGCCTGTCCCGTTTTGCACTGACATTGTCAACGTCGCTGGCTCACAGGCCGGCACAAAGATGCAAAACATCTTCGCCTTCAAACGACTCTTTTTGGAGCACAAGGTGGCTCGGCAGCAGCCATCCCACTTAGATATAGCCCCTTCCCGGGTCAAAACACACCTGAAAAACCATGGTAAATTCCAATCCCAATATAGTGATAGGCAGTGTCCGTGCTTTTTGGAAATTGCTCATCCACTGGAATAGCAGGGTTCTGAAATAACGTTCC